TTTTTATCTTTGCCTGATGAACCTTTACACCCTAATCCATGGAGGAAATACGAATTTAAAACTTGATACTATTATCAACAACACCAGAGAGCTTTTGCTGTGGGGAGCTCTGAGCGGAAACTCACGTGCAACATCTCCTCCATGACCCCACTGGACAGTGACACCCTTTCCCTCTCCAAAAGAGGAAACTGAGGCATATGCCTCAAGTGCACAAGCAGGTGGACTTGAAGACAGGCCCGTCAGTATCGGGGCCAAACCTCCAGGCAAAAATGATATGAGCTATATTTTCCCTTGGAGAGTTCTTCAAATCCCAAGACCCAAACCATTCTGTCTCCCTGCAAAGAGACCGAGGTTAGCTCTGTGGAGGTGGAAACCACTCTTGGAAAGCCTCAGAGAGTATCAGTACATGGACTTTAAGCAGCAAATGACCACCAGAAACAGACGGGTTTAACTGACACTAACTGGGTTCATGTCCCAATTCTGTGTGGTGGTCACTGTGTGGCCTCAGGAGATTTGCTGTACTTCTCTGGGCCTGGACAAAGCATGGATGAGAATAACCACCTCAGAGCTGGTGTCTGTGAGTTGATCCCTGAATTAGATACCAAACCCCCAGGACGGTTCTGTTGAAAGGCAATTGGTCATACCCCTTCTAAATTATTCGGAATAAAAATAACTGAATAATAATAAATAAATCTGATCGCTCCTGAGTGAGCATTCACAGTCTAGAAAGGGAGTCTGGCGCCTCCTACCAGCAGGAGGCATCTCTGAACACATCTGGGCTCCCTACATCCTCTTCCACTCCCCTCCTGCACACACAGGACTTGAAGCCAAGCCAATGTTATCTTCCTCCTCCTCAAACTTGCACTTGACTGCTCTGCCGATAGATTATCATTCTACAGCCAGTTAATATGAACAGTGGAAACCAGCAGGATTTCTTGGAGATAAAGAGGCTGAGCTGCTGCTTGCTCAGTGAAAGGGGACTCTTGTGATGAAGGAGGAGAGACAGCAGACAGGTGAGCTTTGTGGTCACCATCTGGTTGGCTCCAAGACAGGTGGTCCCGTAATTCCAATTCCATGTGGTTTTCCATGAGGGTCAAGTGCTACACAGAACCTCTGGACTCAGAATAATGCATTTTCTGCCTCAGAATAATGCATTTTGGTGAACTAAGCTCAGACTGCTGGTTTCCTCACTTTCCAGTTCTGGGAGAACTCACTGGCTTCCACCGTTTCCTCCTGAGCCACAGCTAGTAGAAAGGGGCTGAGGAGCCCAGGACCTTCTGCACACCTGGGATGGGTGTGGGGTGTCCAGGCGTCCAGACTCACAATGCACTCATTCACCTGGGACTGACTGGTCCTGCCGGCTGTACTCCACAGCGAGCAACAATGTGCTTCCCTAGGCATTATCAAAAAAAAACAATTTTAATAAGAAGGGGAAATGATCAAACAGCAGCAGCAGGTCTGGACCTCCCTTCCTCAGCTCCATAAGTGATCACTGTGTAAGGCAGGAAAGCTGATGCTCTGCTTTCCCACTGGACAACAAAGCAAGCACATCTTTCCCTGCCAACCCTGCTGCCTCGATCTGAGAAACTGGGCCACCAACCCCAGCAGATGGACCAGTACTTCAAGATCTCACTTGAGAACAGTCACCATCCCAGCTAACAGACAGCTTATTCTTGGAGCACAACTGGGGTCTGGCACAGTGCTCAGTCTATGCAGAGGATGATAGACGGGAATGAAAGTATTCAATTCTGCTTCCTGTGGCCACCACACACTGTCATCCTCTAAATCTTCACCAAAATGAGCTCACTCCACCTTTGAAATATTCTGGAGCTTGAAAGTTTCAATCAGGCCAAGCTGATTTTGTGGGCTTTTTAAAGCTCTGACACCATAATTATATCCATAACTCTGTGCCACTGAATTACTCCCAACTGTAACATTTCACATCTTTTTTAAGCATACATTGAGATTAGGTTTTCAGATTTTTTTAGTACATGTTATATGCCCACCCTTATGTACCTTTCAACCAAAAGGCTGGGCCAACAAAAACTAAACATGACTACCTGTTTAACCAAAGTTCAGTTTCAATTAAACTCTAATACACGGCATAAACCTAGCTCAAGAGCAGGTCAGCCAAAACCGAAGATTGTGATTAATAAATGCTAACTAGTCACACTCCTAAAAGGCTCAAAGGAAGAAAACAAAACAATTCAAGGAACACCAAAAGGTAAAATGATTTCGACGGTCCTTCTATTTCCCTTGCTTTCTCACATCGTTAATAAAGAGCCTATTTCTCCTTGCTACAGCTAGGCACATGCTCTTTTAAAGACAGACGAACTCCAGACCAAGAGTCAGCTTTGTTATTTTAGTGAGTAAAATACTAGATATTCTATCTACGAGTAAATAAATTCACTAAAATATGACTGTCACAGGCCATTTAACCTCATAAGCCTCAGTTTTCTTACTTTTAAACTAGAGGCAAAGTGCTCTGAGGATTTTCATAAGGATGAAATCAAAGAATGTAGGCATCGTTGAGAGCCTGGCAAATAAAAAGTGCTTTGTAAATGTTTGCTTGCTGATACTGTCAGATTGCTAAAAATGCCTGCCCTCTCACCTAAGTGCAGAAGGTGCTAAGCAGTCTCCTGACTATCAGGTAGGAGCTGAAATCCACAGATCCTAGTGGGTCCCACAGAAACACACAAGGAAGAGAGAAATGGCCACATATCTATTCTCACTCCATTCTACCAACTCCCGAGGGGTTCCTGGGAAGCAATGATAACTGTGAAGAGCTGGGCTATAACCTTCTACTGGACTAAGGAAGGTGCTCCACGGAGGCCTCCTGGAAACAGCTGAGTCCTGCTGCCAGGGTCCTGAGAGGGCTTTTGACAGTGCTCATTCGAAGCAGAAATCTCCAAATGTTACTTAAATGTAGACATAAAGCCAGGTGTGGTGGGGCAGACCTGTCATCTCAGCAGTCTAGAAGGCTGAGGCAGAGGGATCTCTTAAGTTCAAGCCCAGCTTGGCCAATTTAGCAACTTATCAAGGGCTTGTTTCAAAATGTAAAAGGGGTGGGGGGCATTGAGCGCAATGGCCCTGGGTTCAATCCCCAGTACAGGAAAAAAATGTCGAAAACATAAAGAACCTACTTCTCTTAGGAATGTAACCAGTATTTTTCTGAAATCAGTATCATCCCCTCTTGAATTCCAAAAATACATCTTTTCACATTCACTCTTTACCTTCTATATTGCAGGATTCTTTGCAAGGCAGGCATGGTGCCACTGAGCTAAATCCCTGGCTTGCAGGGTTCTAACATCTATTTTCTTATTATTGTCTCCACTTTTTTTTTTTTTTTTTTTGGTGTGACATGTCAAAGCAGAAACCCATCGCTGTGAGATAGTCCTCGTTCTTTTTTAAAAATTAATTTTATTGGTACATTTTAGGTATACAGTATAATGACATTCATCATTGCAGATTTGTACCTTTAAGTCTCCACTTTTGAAGAAAGGCATTATTTTCCACGTGGCAAGGAGTACCAGAAAGGGAGAGTGCTGTGCAGGGAGTTTTCATAATGTTATTTAAAACATAGTGCAAAACCCAAACTGCATAGTTAAACTTGACAAATAAAGAAAAATAATATTTTCACATGTGCACATTTAAATATTTGGTCAGAATAATTCCCCTTTAAATCATAAGAATAAGATGAAATAATTTGCTCACATACAGACAAGTAAAAGGACAAAGGGAGATTATACACACAGACACACACACACACAGAATTTGCAAACCCACAACTGAGTCAACACTGAAACACAAAAAATTCTTATCCATGGGTACTTTAGCAAAGATTGTTAACACAGCAGCTCATAAACACAGAATCTACATAATCTAAAGAGCCCGTCTCTCTCAGCTCTTCCTGCTGGGCAGCAATATTTATCATCTCAGCAAATGTAATGCATTTTTGCTGTTTCTGATGATTTCCTTAGTTTTCAGAACCTGAAAATCATTAGATGCAGGGATTCACCTTATGTGCCTTCCTCATTTATCATTCCCCAACACTGACCTCATCTCTTGTCATAAGAAAGTTCAGGCATTTAAATCCAGATGGCCTGGGTTTTGCCCATAGAGAGATGGATTCCCATCTAGTTCCAAAGCGGGAGGGGTGATCTGATAACAAGCAATCATCTACCACTTGGGGCTTTGCATTGGACTGCCCCAATGTATCTCCAATAAAGTTTTACAATGTATAGATTTTAAACAAGGTTTGCCAAAAAGTGACTGGCATGTAAAACACCTTTCAGCAAAAACTCTGCTCTCTGAATTTATATTTCATCCCAGAAGGCCTTGTTCCCATAACTGAATCTCCCCCCGGCCCCCCACAAGTGGTTACTTATCAGACTTATTAACTACTAAGCTAAAATGACTTGAAACAAACTGTCTGTTTGACCTAAGCATTTGACAGCCCAGTGTTGTTCTCTACAAAGAGTGGAATTCTCCTTTCGGAGTCAGACTTCCAAATCAGAGAGGAAGACTGTATTGGAGAGCTGGGGTATAAGGCAAGGGAACTGGAGACAGAAATCCAAATTCACAGCCTGTCCTTTCATTTCCCCCTGCGGCTGTCATCTCCCCCGTCGCACTACCTTAGCCCTGATCTTTGCACCTGAATGTTATCTTGTTCTTTTCCTGGAGAGCTCAGAAGACAGAACCAACACAGGAAGTGTGATCGTGAGAGCCATCGGAAGGAACGGACATTGCAAGCTGTAATTTTCGCTGCAACAGTGGAATGAGTGCATCTTAAGTTTCCTTCTGCAAGGATGATGTCAAACAGAAGAATTCTCAACCTGATGAAATGGAAACTGTCCAAACCCATGAAACGCAGATAGGCACCCAAATTCAGTGCATGAACTAATGACGAAAAGCAATTTTTAGAGACTCCGTTATGTGATCACATTAAATGGCTTCACCTCATCCAAGAAAGAGTGGCTGCTACTGCCCTGAACACTCACCAGGCACATACACATTATACATGGATTGTCTGTGATGAAAGGGATCTGGAGCTCCTCTCCTTCATTTTCACATTTTGCAACAGAACCTGAAATGAAGGAATTTTTAAAAGTTTAAACCTTCCTTAGTGGTCTTATTAAAAAATCTTCAAGTTTCACACATACCTTTCTTGAAACACTGTCCCAAATTTCAGAAATTCTAAATGTTTTAAATCATCAGCAAATGAGTTTTAAATCATCAAAAGCACATTCCCCAAAATCTATTTTAAATATTTTTATTTTAAAAGTTTTTAAAGAGAAAAACTAATATATGGATAGATTTTCTGTTCACAGATGGTTTAAGCACATTCCAAGTATCTCGCTGGACCTTTAATGATGTTCCCTCCTTTGGGAAGTCATCTCAACTAAAAGCACACCCTGTATGCTCAAAAAAATTCAGATTTGGCCATCGGGGAAGATTTTCCACGTGAACAGAATTCAGGCGTGTGTCCTTGCGCGGACCTTTTACAAGGACAGGCTGCCTAAGACTGTCGCGCCATCGCTTGCTGAGAGGCCACCCTCTCCCCTCTTGGACACAGACTCAACGTTTTCTTTTCTGCCCCAGGCATCCGTAAAGCTTGTCCTTCAGAACAGCAGAGGAGGTCTTCACCCTCAGGAGCCGCCGTGTGATTGTTACACGCCGCGCCCCCGCCCATTCCCACGGCCGCGCCTTCGCATCCACTGCAGGAACCGGCGCCTCGGAAATCGTCGCGGGCGCAGGAGACGCGTGGGGACAGGAGGCTGTGGGGGCGAGGTCTTTCTGCCCTCGAACAGGAGGGGAGAGGATGAAGATGGGGCCTCGGGAAGAAAATGGGTAAACAAGGGAACTCAGCCCCGGAGGGCGGACCGCGTCTGGCACCGCACCAGGCGCCGGCCCGGACCCACGGCTCCCGCGAGCCACCTTCGTCCCCTGCGCCCCCACTCGATCCCGTCCGTCCCCCCTCACCCTCTTAGTCCCCTCCTCTGTCTCCTCCGTCCCCTCGACCTGGCCCGTACCTGTCAGTAGCGACGACCCCAGGCCACTGCGCAGCCCCGCGAAGCCCAGCAGCAGCAGCGCGCCCCAGGTCGCCGGACGCTCGAGCATCGTCCCCGGAGTTCCCGCCGCGTGGCCGCCAGCGGAGCCGTGGAGGGGCGGAGCGGGGCCGGGGGCCCAGGCGGCAAGGTGTCCCCAGGTCCCGCGGGCCGCTTAGGGGAGCTGCTGACTGTGCGAGGCTGCCCGGCACTCAGTCCGGCGGCCGAGGCAAGCTCCTCCCTCCCGGGCTCGGCGGGGCAGCGTCTCCACCGCCGCCCAACCCGCGGGCTCCGCGCGGACCAAGGCGGGGACCAGGCTCCAGGCGCCTCCTTCCCCGGCCGCTCTGGGGCGCCGGACTAGGACCTCCCCACCCCAGCCGGACCCGCCCTGCGCCCCCTGAGGTCGGCGCTCAGAGCCGCTCTCCAGCCGGACCCATCGGAGGACCCAGGAGCGCAGAGCCCAGGGATTGTACAGAGCTGCACTGCTCTGGTGCAACCTGAGCCCCTCCGGGTCCTCTGTTCCCGCTTCTCTAAGGACTCGGGAGTGATGAACTCAGCCGGTACCTGGGCCCCCCGGGAGCGGACGGGCGTGGGGAGGGGAATAGTGAGGCTGTCCTGGCTTAGCACCCCTATTTCGCTCTCAAGACGGAGTGCACTGTAAAATGTGAATTAAAAGTGAAAAGAAGTGATGTGCCCCCCCACCACCACAGTAACACGGTGACCAGAGACAGCTTCTTGAAAGAAAATTCGAGCGTTTAATCGTCCAGAAAGACAACCTGCAAAACAAAAATAATCTCGAGACCCAGTTTTTCTTCCCATCGTGACTGATTAAAATAGAAAAAGTAAAATAAAATTAAAGCTTCTGTTGCCACAGGGAAGCATAATCCATTGAAGCCGCCACCCCCACCATCGGAAAACATTCCCCCTCAATAGGGCTTTTAGGTAGCGTTATTAAAAATGACTTAAGGAAAGAAATCTGAACACTGGAGTTGCTGGAGGCCTTGTGCTTCCCTGGACATCAGGAGGTTTGGACGCGTGAGCATTGTACCCCTGAAAGTGCTGAATGGCGCTCAAGAGTTGCTTTGGTGCCTTCTCTGGCACGAGGCATGTTCACCCTCGCAGCTTTCAGGACAGGTTTCTCCACAATGGAGGCCAAATGTGTGTGGTTTTTCTACAATGGGCCGCATGGTGCTTTGGGGTACAGTGGAATTCTGTCTGTAGATGCAAATCCCTAAACCAGCTAGAAACATTTCCGTCTGCTTGGAAGTTTGCAAAGGGGAAGGATCCACACAAGCTTTGGGCAAGCCTAGCTCTTCTTCCTGTTTCTTACAATCCATTGCCACCAGTAATTTTCCCTTCTGTCTTCTCCACAGATGGGCTCCACTTCTGCAAGAGCAGACTCCCCTGCGGGCTCAGGACAGGGTCTGTTTCCCAGCCTCTACTCTGCTGCAACCATCCCTTACAGGGACATCTTCTGCTGCCACTTGGTCTCTGTGCAGAGCTGAGACAGTGCCAGGTCAGACAGAAAAGAATTCACACGCACACACACATACACACACACACACACACACACACACACACACACACACCCCAAAAAAGAAAAGAGGCAAAAAGGCACACAGATCCACTGTCATTCAGACCCAATGGTGATATGCTCTGAGATCCCAAATGTCCTTCGCTGAAATCAAAAGAGGAAGAATGGGTGCTTGGCTCTATTTATGACATCTTTCACAGGAAAACAGGAAACGGAGCCTAAAAACCAATATTTAATTCAGGGGCTATGCTGGGCTCAGGTAGACAAAGCACTGTCCAAAATAAAATGTGTAACCGAAGTAGACTGAAAGGTAGACATGACTGAGGTCCGAGAAACTGTCCATCTTCTCTCAAAACTGTGTCATTGAATTCTCATTGAAAGACTCAGCTGGGTTCGCCTTGGTGGATCCAAAGTTATTCCCAGAGAATCACATAACCCAGATTCCCCAAAATAGAAATACATGAAAGCCTGAGAAAAGATCTGGGATAAAGACACCTCAGGGAGGGCGAAGGCATCCAGTAATGTCTGATGGCTATATACTCACAAAACCACCAAGTTAGGTATTTGGGCTGGATTTTAAACTTGATAAAGACAAAGGATTACACCACCAAGGCCCATCAAGTCCAGTAAGGAGAGGAAGTGTGTTTAAATAACACAGTACAGGCCTGGGGATTTAGCTCAGTGGTTCTTCCACCTGCCTCGCAAGTGCGAGGTCCTAAGTTCGATCCCTGGTACAAAAAAAAAAAAAACAAAACCACAGTACAAGGCAGGAAGTGACTAGGAGAGAAAAGTGAGCATGCATACGCCTCCTGGAGGGGGTGGTTCCTGGGAGCTGAGCTTTGAAGGAGGGAGGGTAATCTGGGGACAGCAGGAAGGCACAGCAGGGAGACAAGGAGTCCCCACAGCATGGGGGCACAGTCATCTCTGGACCTGCCTGTTGGCTTAGCCCAGCTCATTGGAGCTTGGAGAGGGCTGAGGCCTATAGACAGCACAGCAGAGACTGACCCTGCACCTCCAGCACCAACAGGAAGTCTACCTTTAAGGAAGTGCCTCATTTTTCCTGGGAAGTTCTGGACTACATTTCTTCAGAAGAGAAACTATTTCTGCAGGCATCTTCAATAACCTAGACATGTGGCCATGGTTAACCATGACCCTGGAGCACTTGCTCAAGGGGCTTGGGTGAGAAATGGATCAGCCCAGTCAGTATTCCGGAATCTCTTTGGCAAAGGCTCTGTGATTGGCCCTGAAATGAAAGTAGAAATTCTGCTTTCACCTAGTTTTCTAAAATCACTGCAGATCTCAGAGCATAGCAATCAATGCTCTGCCTTTTCCTTTAAAAGTGAAAACTATGTGCCAAGAGGGAACCCACTGGCCCAGGGTCCCATGGCAAGTTAATGGCAGAGACCACTGACTGAAACAGTCTTCTGCTCCCTGACCATGGCACTCCGTGACAGATGGTCTGCCTTCTTGCGTCATGAGTCATAAGAATTATAAGAGAAGATATTTTAGATATGATGTAAATCTTGTTACAGAGTTGGCGCAATAGCAACTGAAATATGTATTGAATTGCACTGTACCCAACCATACATGTTGCAGCGCTATAAAAAGCAGACGGCAGCTTATCTCACCTTTGAGCAGTGATTTTATTATTAGTCACTAGGCTAGGATGCTGAGGGACTGCAATCCTCGGGGATTTGTTCCTGGTTTTTCAGTGTCTTATCCTTCACAGACAGTGGGCACCACAGAGGCTACTGGAAAGCCCTCTGAGTCCACAGGGCCTCCAGTGCCACTACAGAGGAGTTTGGGCACATTCAGGGTGGTATGGCTGTAGACAGAGTGTCACTACAGAAACTCAGAGGCCCTGACACTGTTCTTCTGAGGAGGCAGGGAGAACAGGAATGATGACAAAAGCATCGCATAGCCTCCCTGATGCATGATTGCTATATATGTCATGGCCTCACTTATTGATGAGCATTATTAAAGTTAGCTTATTATGTCACTAATGTGATATGTCCTGCTGAGTCAGGTTTCATTATCTTTTGTGACCTTGATTTTCTTTTCATAGGATTGAGAAGTTTATCCCTTTCTAAAGCTGGGCATTTTGGTAAAGGTGATAGGACCTAGACATTTTTAAACACAGTTGTATTAAAATTTTAAAACACTGATTTTTTTCTGTTTTGAATTAATATTCTCATAACTAACCCTCCTGCCTTTTACTTCTTTGGTGGCCCTGACCCTCTCCCGGCCCTGCCCATGTCCCTGCCTCCAGGACGAACAGGGACCAGCAGGAAAGCTTTGCTGCTGGACACAGTACTTGTTCATTTAAATGTGCATGAACCAAACCAAGCAGGCTGGAGGTCACAAATCCTCCAGTTGTACAATTAAAACAGAGTTCTGTCATTAAAACAAAGGAATCTCCATCGAAGCACCTAAAATATTTCCTGTACTGACCAGGAGCTCACTTATTAAACAGAATCGCTCTGATCTTGGAAATGATGGTATGAGACTCCCTGCTGAGCAGGCACCAGTGATTCTCACTCATAGAGAAGGGGTTTTGAGAAAAGGGTCCTGTCCCCCGTGTCACCTTGAAGTCTCCGCCCAAGAAATCTCACATGACGCCAGCCTGCGTCTACCCCTGGCACTACTAAGATCTACACTTGAAACTATGCTTCAAATTCTAGCCATGTAAGACACTAAATTGCAGGTGCAAGGGCCAGGGATTTAGCTCAATGGCACTGTGCCACCTGCCTTGCAAGCACAAGGTCCTGCGTTCAATCTCCAGTACTGAAAAAAATCAATTAATTAATTAATTACACGTGCACTCGCACTTTACTATAATTTTTAAAAAATTTCAACCTTTTAAATAAAATAACTTTCTATGTTCTTCTTGCGACATAATCGTTGGTTAAAAAGTAGAAAATACAAATCATCTAAGAAGAGAACAGACTGTTTCATAAATTTTCGAGAGTGCCTGAGTTCATGAGAAGCCGTTTAAAGCCATCACCTCACTCAATCCCCTCAATGAGAATTTGCCCCATTTTATGGCTGAGTAAAATGAAGCATGAATCATCCAAGGTCAAATGGGGAATCGGTTGAGTGAGATTCAGAAGCCAGGTCAAATGACTTCCAGGTCCATGTTCCTATTGCCACACTCTTGGGAATGTTCTTGTCGCTCTCCTTTGACGGTTTGCGTTTTAATAATGATTATATGAAGTTACCACCCCCTCATCTCGCACCTGCCTATATTACTTCCAACTTTTTACTGATGTGTCAGATGTTTCAGGGAGCGTCATTGTAATATTCATAGTTATTCTCTCAAGAATGAATTAATTTATGGGCAGACCAAAGACAGTGTACTAAGGCTTTTGAATAATGTTTTTATGATTATTTTTTTTTGAGGGAGTGATTAAACTCAGGACTCTACACTGAACTACATTCCTACCCTTTTTCTATTTTTTGAGACAGCATCTCACTAAGTCACCAAGTTACCTAGTCTTGGTTTCAACTTGTAACCCTCTAGCTTCAGCCTCCCTTGGTGTGGGGATTACAGGTGTGTGCCACCATGCCAGTTTTTTTTTTTTGGTACCAAGAATCGAACTTGGGACCTTGCACTTTTGAGGTAAGTGGTGGCACCACTGAGCTAAATACCCAGCCCCAGGTTATTAAATTTTCAAATCTCAATCAAATTGGTTTTCAGTTTTTTAAATGCTAAACAGATATATTTGCTCAAAAATATACCTTAAGTTTGTAAGCTATTCCCCAGTTATCTTAATAGATCTTTGTTGATGCACAGACTGTCCAATTAATTTGCCTTATTAAAAATAAAACACATCCTACTGGTTTTTTAGACTTCATTGATTGTGTGGTATAAATATTTACTTAAGAGAAATCTTAAAGCAAACAGCCGTGACTTCTTTGACCACTTCCAGCTTTGTGTGCTGGAAGATAAGCAGCTTCCCTAGGTTTTATCTCAATTTCATGCCAAAAGCAATCTCCCCAACTTGAATTCCTTCCATTCCCAAGCCATGCTTTCCAGTATCCCATAATAAAGAAAACAATCCCATTAATGAACAACTCCGGCATCTCTCACCAGCAGCAAAATAATAAATTTAAATACCCAAGATTTAGTTCATCAAACCCATCCCCCAACCCTGGCTTGATTTATAGGAGCTTGTCACCAGCCGATTAGTGCCCATTACAGAATGAATGAAACTGATTTCCCTAATGGAGGAAACATTCAGAGGGAATCTTTTGAACCTAAAATATCTCTCCTAGTTTTG